TTGTTAGATATCAAAAAAGTCCCAGCTCACTTATTAACATTTTACTGAAACCGCCATCTTTCCTGTTTTTGAAGCAAACAAACAAACAGGACTCATTCCATGTTCCTTCAGAGCAGTCAGTCATCTTCCTTCTCGACACAGTCACATGATCACAGAGCTCACTACCATCAGACTGCTGCTCTCATTTGCATTCGGGGACATGCAGGTGAAACTTCCCTCCCTCCACCCTACAAACCAACAGAAACATCCTTCATCTGTGAAATTTCTTATCACTTTAACATTCAGTCTGATTCTTTGTGAGGAAAAGGCCTGAAAATGTGACGGAGGCGCGGGACAAGTCCGTAAGAGAAGCTAAAGAAAGAATTATCATTTCCTCAAGGTCTGTTTGACGTGAGATGGCCTTCAGCACAAAGGATTTGGTTAATTACAAAGTTCCCATCAAGATCACGGCAGGACATCCCCTCTTCATGTTGCTGTCAGCCAACATTATTATAAATGAGACGGAAAGTAAAAGCTCCTCCAGAGGTGAGGCCGCCAGGGTCAGAAGATTCATTAAACCAACAGCAGCAGAGATAACTTCAACCTCAGAGGTTAAATTCGCCTTCAACAACAGGGCCAATTTAAAACTGGTCTACTGATCTCTACTGTGTTCTGTGAGAGGTTCAAATACAGGCAGGAAAGCAATGTGGACAGCAGTTAGATGGACACAATTATCAGCAAAAAAAGGATCAGACTATAAATCTACTGATACAGAGGTTGAGACGATGAATGAACCTGGATCAATGGCTCAATAGATGAATGACCTGATGAACCTGTGATTACCAGCTTTAAATGTTTAAATCTGAAAACTTTATTAACCAAATCACAATGGAATGACTCAAATGTTGAGTTTTATAATAGCCAAACTCTGCGTTTTTACTATGAAGGAGCGAGGGGACTTCTACTGTGGAAATTACCTTTGTGGGCAAGGCAGCGGATGCTCTGTTTACTTTGGGTGTCCCAGAGTCGAACCGTCTCATCATGTGACCCAGAGAGGAGGAGAGTCCCGTCCATCGAGACCGAAAGACACATCACCAGGTTCCTGAGCAGAACCACACAGTTCAGATCACTAACAATCCTGATCTATAAACACCCACACCCCTGATCAATAAACAGAGACAACTGTGATCAAAAACCCTCAAGTGCTGACTATGCCTTGATCCAGTGAAAAGGAAACATCCGTGTCTGTGTACCACTACAAAAGCCCTTTTACACAGAGATCATGGAGAAGTACCAGCATTTTGATCCTCATTCAAGGCAGCTTTTTGAATTAAGTCCCTATAAACGGAGCGTAAACACATCAGGCCATGTACAAAGTAAACGGGCTGTTATCTGATTGATATATTAAAGCTATAAATGGAAATCGGACATTACAGTACTACATTACTTTACTACTTGCATCCAGTTTCAGGTCTGTGCGTCTGTCTGAGGGCAGGGCTAAACACACAGCTGTATTTTTGTTCCTTGTTGGGACTTTACATTGACTTGCATTCATTTCCTGTAGACTAACCCTAACACATAACCACTACTTTCCTAACACCTAACACCCACCCTAACCTTAAACCATGCTGCCACCCTAAAATTCAGCAATTTCAGTGATTCAAATCAGGCATTTCATGTATTCTTCTACAAATCACCAGTTAATTTAACCTGTTTACTACACGATTCTTGTAAAAGTGTGTTCAATTCAATTGCATTTATTGTGTAGCACCAATTTACAACAATTTTCTCAGGGCACTTTACAGTAGTCGGGTCCAGACTTCACAATGCTACAGAGGAAAACCCAACAACCCCCCCCGAGCAGCACTTGGCGACAGTGGTGAGGAAAAACTCCCTTTAAAGGAAGAAACCTCCGACAGACCCCAGCTCTTGGTGGGCGGCCTTCTGCCTCGACTGGTTGGGGTGAGTGGATAGAGGAGAGAGCATCATCTCTTTTGTGCTTCACATTGTTGATCTACCAAATCAAAGAAGTTCATTTATTCCTTATTCAACACCCCCCTGCTGTGAGTATGCACACACACTGGTCACAAACTGTGCGCGTTGTGTTGCGTGTAGCATGTAGGCTCCCTAGAGGAAAGAAGTAAAAGGTGAGTGGATACACAGCCTGTGTAGACACCGGACTGATCCAAACTGTTCTGTCAGATGTGACTGAGACTAAAGATGCTGCTGAAACTCCGGCCGCTGTCGATACTGTTCCCGTTCTACATCAACTTTCTGTATGTAGAATTGGGGGGGGTCCTCGGCTTTTGTTCTGGTCAAACGTAGTCAGTGATTTCTTCCTGGGTTGTCTGGTGTTCATTTCAATTTGTGCCAGTGAATCCTGCACAGTATCAAGGCCGATTTTTTTATCATCATGAACAAATGAGATTCTGCCGTAGAGGAGCCAGAAGACTATTTAAAATATTTACTACTGTTTTAACTTTCTATGTTGCTGCCTGCTCTTTAGTTACTGTGTTAAATGTGACTGCAGTCTCACCTGTGTCCTCTAAAGACCTGGTTTCCATCATTGTCTGGCTGGAAGGATCTGTCCCGACTGTGACTCTGTGGGGGAAACACAAACAGTTTTTGTGACAGCAGAGGTACAAACGGCGGCTCAGCATCAGTCTCCAGCTGAGGTTCTTCTTTGGCCTGTTCCTGTGTTTTTATTGGCTCCAAGACGTCTCTAAATGCTTTGATCAATTCATCTAATTACACCAATTATAGATGGTGTTTTATCAGATGAGTTGGCCATAAAAACAGAGCAAAGACGACCAACAGGAATCAATACAGAGTTGTTTCTCTGCCAGTCAATATACAAACGATCAATTCAACAACAGGAGGAGCATCAATCAGCATCAATGTACACACACACACACACACACACACACACACACACACACACACACGTCTTTTTACCGTCCAGGTTTAAAAATTGGATTGCACAGGGATGATGAAGATCATGTCACACAGGTGAGCTGCATTATGCGAGTCTTTCTAATAAACCTGCAGCTTATTACAGAAAGAGGAATAAAACTGGTATAAAGTGTTTAATGATCTTGTTACAGCTTCTGGCCTGTACTTATGAAGCCTTCATTTAAGTGGCACTGAAATTTCCCACTGCCTGAAAATACAAACATTACCTGTCAGAGAAGCTACAACACCGACTTTGTGACTGAGAGTTGTAAAACAGTGACATGCACTCGTTCTCAGCAGCAGGATTTCTCCTCACTCACAAGTGACAGTAGGACACATCCAAAATTGGGTTTTAAGTCCTGTTCTGAGGTCATAGTGAGTTTTAGTCCTGAGGTATTTTTCAGTGCGATTCCTTCATCTTTTGATGCGACAACATAGGCTGTAGGACATCATGACAGAGGACGGCAGACTGTGAGCTGTAAACAAGGGAATGTGTTGATGTAGACTCACCTGGCTGCACAGAGACACCTGGAAAATGTTCCCATCACTTCCTCCGCAGAACAAGAAGTACTCACAGGGGTCAAAGGTCACAGACATGATCTCCACATCAAAGAGGACAGACAGGAGCAGCTCACCTGAGGACAACTCCCACACCTGGACAGGACACAGACATGAAAACATCATCAGTTTGTGGTAAATTGGTGGGTGCTGTGGTTATGTGGTGCACGCGGTATCTGGCCACCACGGCACCATCATCACCATGATGTAGATTTGCATTGAGTGGCTGCACAGTCTCATCTGACAAAGGTAAAGGACAGGTAGGTGTTAAAAGACAGGGTCTCATTATTTCAATGAACAGCAGCAGCCCGGCGTCCACATGAACACCGACCTTAAACCTCTGACGTATGAACTGCCGGAGCAGTTTTCTGTGGTTTAAACACAACAACTACAATGATGTTGTTTCTGATCAGATTATTTTCTCTGTTTATCAGCAGAATATTTAAGTGTTATCTGACACAAGTGCACGTTTGCTTGTTTGGTTCACAGGAACCAGCCCAACAGGGCCACCTCAGACACCATCGCAGCTGCCTTCCACTATTCCCTTTCTCACCTGGAAAATGGAGACTCCTACATCAGGATACTCTTCATTGACTACAGCTCCGCCTTCAACACAGTTGTCCCCCACAAACTCACCCACAAACTGTCCACACTAGGTCTGCACCCCACCCTCTGTGACTGGCTCCTGGACTTTCTGACTGGCAGGCCCTAGACTGTCAGGATTGGCAATAGGACTTCAGCCAGCATTAAACACTGGCACCCCACAGGGATGTGTCCTCAGTCCCATCCTCTACACCCAGTTCACCCACGACTGTGTCGCCTCCCACAAAGAAAACATCATCCTGAAGGTCGTGGACAACACCCCAGTGATAGGTCGCATCACTGGTGGGGACGAAGCAGCCTACAGGAGGGAGTCATGGTGCAAGGACAATAATCTCAGCCTCAACACGGACAAGACGAAGGAGATGATAGTGGAAATGAGGCAAGAGAGGAGAACTCATCGGCCACTGTTCATCTGGGGGCTCGAGGTGGAGAGGGTGAGCAGCTTCAAATACCTGGGCGTCCACATCAGTGAGGACCTCACCTGGACACACAACACCACACAGCTGGTCATGAAGGCCCAACAGCGGCTGTACTTCCTGAGGAGGCTGAGGAGGTTTGGCATGTCGCCTAGGATCCTCAGCAACTTCTACAGCTGCATCACTGAGAGCATCTTGACCAGCTGCATCACTGTCTGGTATGGCAGCACTACTGCTATGGACCACAAGCGCCTGCAGAGAGTGGTAAAGACTGTGGAGAAGATCACCAGGACTCCACTGCCCTCTCT